GCTTAGTCGGCATGCGACCGCAATGGATGCACTGCAGCACTACGAGTCTCTTGCGCAGGAAGTGTCAGATGCATTGGACCGACGCCAGTTTGATCCGGTTTTTGCGAAACTGCGAGTCATGGGTATTGGGTCCTCCAAAGGGGTCAGCCCCAGAGCGCCCCCCATCCTTGAGTTGGAAGACGGTTCAACGGCCACTACACACAGAGGCAGCGGATAGATGGCTTCGCGACCTTGCAGCCGAAGAGGTCGGAGTTGTGGCCCCTATCCAAGATGTAGAAGAGTTCTACTATCAGCTACCACAGTTTGACGCAGCTCTCACACACGACATAGGGCATGATGAAGTTTTTCTGCCAACGCTGGCAGACTACCAGCAGGCCTGCCGCACTGCCAGGCCATCTGCAGCTAGCCTCGACGGCATTCCAGGCAACATGCCCAGGCAGCTTGCGCCAGAGATGGGCAGCCTCTCTTACCCAGTTGTCGTCACGAATTGCCTTAGGACTGAATCGCCAGCACAGTGGAGAGGCGGCAACTACTGGAACACTTGGAGGGGCAAGGCCACAGCAGCTCTTTGCAATAACCATCGGTCGGTCATGATTTCTTCCCAAGGAGGCAAGAAATATCGACAACTCCTATGGAGATCGCTCGCTGCCGCATTGCCAGAGCACGCAGGATACTCACAATATGGGGGCATCTCGGGACGTGGGGTTGACTTGGCCGCCTCGGCCCTCAGATCCTTCCAGGAGCTCGCGCCGGCCCTCAAACAGTCGGCCCTCTTCTTTATGCTCGACGCTGCGTCGGCCCTCTACAGGGCCACAAGGGAACTGGTCATGCAGATGAGCACCTCCGACTCCGACCTCCACGTCCTCCTCACCACCGCAAGGGCTCCCTAGCAGCGTCATTGGGGACCTCGAGGCCCACGTAGCACAGCACCCTACTATTCTGGAGGCGGCTGGTGTGTCTCGGCATGCGCGGGCCCTCACGGCCTCCAGTTACACGGGCAGTTGGTTCTGGTACACAGGGGCCTCAGCCATTGCGTACACATTGGAAGGAGCAGTGCCAGGTCAGCAGCTGGACAATGTGATATTCAACTTTGTCACGGCAGCATGCATGCGCGAAGCGCAGCAGAGTTTAAGCGAGCTCGAGCTCGACAGCCGCATCGCCATCGCCACGCATGCCAGTATGTCCGACCTACTCACCACGACGCCTGACACGATCAGGGGAGGATTGGATGTGTGCTTTTTTGACGACTGAGCCATCGTGGTCATTGGCCCAGCGCTCGCCTCAGTTTCAGCTGCGCCGCGGGTTGCCGAGGCCGTGGCTACCAGCTTCGAACGACGATGCCTCCGCCTCAACTCTGCAGCGGGGAAAACTGGGGTGCCATTTCAATTCCGAGGCAAAGGATCGAAGGCTGCCAAAAGAGAGCTTTGGCTACAACGCCAAGGGCAGTACCAGGTGCAGTCGGATATTCTAGGTACTTTCGCGCTACATGCTGTACGCACATATCCGCACTTGGGCACCCGAAACTGGACGAGCTGGGCTCCATCGGGCCAGAATTGGCCCATCGAGAGGCGTCTATCAAGTCCTCGGGGCAGCTTCTTCGGCGTCGCATCTTTGGGGCCGCAATGGACCTCCCTAAGGCTGCCTCTCTTCAATCTACCGACACCCTCCTCTTGGGGTTCCTCTACAACTCTGGGACGTGGCCGGCCTCAACGGACGCACAATACGCTCACATACAGCACGGCATGGTCAACACGCATCGACAGTCGCTACACATACTACAGAAAGATTCTGACACAGTCCCGGACAGGGTTGTCTTGGCTAAGGTGGAACGCCCCAACATACAAGGAGTTTTGAGAATGCAGCGTCTGCGTTTGCTTGGGCGCTTGCTGCATCACGGTACGTCCACTTTACGGAGCCTGGTCACACATGCTCATCGCACAGCACAGCCATTGCGCACCACATGGATGCACAGGGCCATCGATGATTTGGAATGGCTCCGCACTACACACCATCAGCTACGAGAAATGCCGACTTTACCAGACAACTTTCACGGCTTGGAAGATCGCATCATACATTCACTTTCGGCGTGGAAGAGCATGCTTGTGACTGCTCTACGCGCCCACGCGCTTGCAGCCAGTCGCACGGCGATGGCCCAGCAAGCACAAGCAGCTTTTTTCGAGCTAGTCCGTCCAGCAGGAATGCCAGTGCCTATTACCGACCCCTCGCACCCCATATACCCAATCAAGACACGATTACCAGCATTGAAGTGTATGTGGTGTGGCTACACAGGGGACACAGCCAAGAGCACAAGACAGCACATTGTGCGTACACACTACAGTGCAGTACATGTGGTGTCACGATTCACGGGGGAGGAAAGTACATGCATGTCGTGCTCGGCCGCCTTCGCATCCAGAAGACAAGTGCGAGACCACCTGATGCATGGCACTACTATCGATCCCGACAGAGCCGAGGAACTGCGTCTGGAGGACGCCAGTCGGCACACATTGCAGCGCCGCGCAAGATTTGGAAGACAGCGTGCAGCCTATCCAGCATCAGTGCAATATCCGGAAGACGGCCTCCACCCACCAGCTATGCTGGAAGCAGCCCTCTTTGATGATGACCAGGCTAGAGCGATCATCCAAGAGTCTGCCTACGAGCTTGATCCGGTATCCCCCCCCGCTTAACAGGACCGACTGAACAACCCACCTGGCCCACCGACCCAAGAGCAGCCTCTTTTCCCCGACCGTCATTGCAAATACAGGTCCCATGACTACACTGCCAGTGCAGCTGAATGGGCACCGTGCCGCATCCATCGCGCAGAAGTATGTGTGCTCAATTTTTTTTCAGGAAAGACAAAAGGGTGACGTGCAATCCTGGATCGAAGGTGATTTTTTTCACGACCGAGTGCACGTAACCATGCTTTGCGTTGACATAGCCATCGACGATACCATGGGGGCGCTGACGCGCACAGCTACCATACGTGAATGGGAGGAACACATCCTATCCAAACGAGTCTGGAACACAGGGGGGGCCCTGTGAAACCTGGAGCGCAGCCCGTTGGCTGGAAGGGCCCCCCCCCTCTACGCACACGCGAGTGGTTCTGGGGTGTGTCGTGGGTCAATGACAGACAAGCCGCGCAACTGCAAATTGGAGGGATCCTGTTGCAACATCTGGTGTACCTTCTGGGGTGCCACATGGTGGCAGGGAAGTCGGAGTGGATAGAGCACACAGCTCCCCCGTATTGGAAGCCCCAAGCCCCCAGCAGCTTCCAGAGGCCCTGGCAGCGCGTCGCCTGTGGTTACTGCTGACTTCGACCAGTGTGTGCACCAACCTGCCGACATGGATCTCGCAGAATGCGGGCGCGGACCGACACGTCTCCCGGGGGTTCGGCTTGAGTGCCTAGCAGCCCGACTCACCAACACACCGCGTCGAGGGAAGTGCCATCACCCCCCAGGAGCTCACAAAGTCCTTCGAGGAAAAGAAGTTACCCCAGAAGGCCACTCTGTTTTCAGAACCAATGCCAATAAGACGTACCCAGCGGAGATGTGACGTCATCTAGCCAGTGCCATCTCTGCCCCCATCACGCGTGTGTACGCTGATGAAAACGAAGCAGATTTCACATCATATCCAGACCCGGCGCTAGTGGAGGGACTACGCCGCTTCTGCATCGCTGAAGTGGATCAGAATTTCATGCCAGCCCCAGATTTTGCCCACGGAGCTGGTAGTAGCAAGCACAGGGTATGTCGGGCAGATCCTGAACTACATAGGTTCAGAAAAGACGATAATGCTACACATGAGGTGCAATATGTGTGTGATCCGACTCCGGATTCTGAGCAGCCCCCTGTCTCTTCAGCTGAATTCAGACCTGGACTAGAGGAGGAGCTAGAAGTTGAGGAGGTTGTAGGGTTTGGCGGTTTGACGTTTCCCCTCCGCCCCACCCCCTACCCCTCCGCCTCCCCCGCCTCCGCCTCCTCTCACCGCCGAGCAGCTCGCCCGTATAGCTGCCAACCGGAGTCCGCAGGGAGACCAAGCGAGCTGCCGAGCATCGGCGGCGTGCGCCCTGGCAGGCCGCCCTCCACTTCGCCTTCGGCCCCCCGCAGGCGGGGCTCTCTTCTTTTTGCAGCATTTAGCATACAGCAGCATGTAGCAGTCAGAACTCAGACACCATTTCTCATGCCACCGTGCCACCACTCCTCCTTTTGCTCCTCCTCCTCCTCTTCTTCCTCCTCTCTCCGCTTCCCCTAGTTTCACAACCCTTTTGGCCCTTCCCCCAGGCAAAAATCCCAGGGGCCTCCGGCGCAGCCCGCCGATCACCAGGAAGGACATCAAAACCCTGAAAATCCAACACGGCCCAAGAGAGCCTCCAAGATAACCCCAAATCAACTTCCAAGACGGACAAGCAGGATGGCCCCAAAAGAGCCGAAGATGGTCCCAACATGTAACTAAGAAAGCCCAATAGGGCCCAAAAGACGGCCCAAGAGGCCCCAAACAAGGCTTCAAGAGACCCCCAGGGCTCCAAGAGGAAGGAAAGCCAGGGAGACGAGCAGGACAAGATGTGCGCGCGAGCCTCCTGATCCGCCGCGCTGCTCGGGCGTTCTTCATAGGGGAGGCAATAATCGGTGAGTAAAAAGCATACACCACTCGTGCACCTTCTGGGTTAGCGGTGGCAGCTCAGGGGCCACTTGGGGCTCCTTAAAGGCCACGTAATTACCTGCAATCCTCTTCCCGCCCCCCACGATCGATTGCTCCTGGGCGCGGCACATATAAATATCCACGGCCTCGCGGGCCGGGCTCCTCGGCCGCGACCGCGCGGATACGGGGCGGCTCTGCGTGGACGCGCCGCGCGGAGCGTGTCCGTGGGATCGCGCACTCGTGGAACCGCGCCCCGACATTCGGGACGCGAGGGGTGTGGATATGGAGTTGTGTGCTTTGCACGTGGCATGCTGCGCCCATCTGCTGCTGTCCGCCCGAGCCGCGCGCGAACGGTCTGGGGGCGGCTCCCGGCCCTCGAGGACGAGCTCGGGACGGGGCCCAGCGGGGTCGCCTCGGCCACCTGGCGCGAGGGGCGGTGCGTGCGGCAAGGAGGGCGCCGGGGCACCACGCCTGCTAGTTCGGCAGGCCCCCACACTCTGAAGCACCTTGAGGGAACGGCGGGCGGGCAGGGGGGCGGCCGGGCTCGAGCCGACACGCTCGGCAACGTGAGCGAACAGACTCTATTGCGACGGCGGAGTTCGACGCGGTTGTGATCATTCACGTGCCAGCAACTCTCTGTCTCTCTGTCTCTCTTTCTCCCTCTGTCTCGCTCTCTCCCTCTCCCTCTCTCTTTCTCTTTCTCGCACTGCTTGTTTTTCTTTCTCTCTCTCTCTCTCTCGCTCTTTCTCTCTCTCTCTCTCGCTCTTTCTCTCTGTGTTTATCTCTCGCTCTCTCTCTCTCTCTCTCTCTCTCTCTCGCTCCCTACTATATATATATATATAGATGTATTGATATATGTATATGTATATATATGTATATATATATAGATAGATAGATAGATATATCGGAGGTGAGGGGGTGAGATCGAAGTGGAACGGAGAGCCCCCCTACTGGGAAATCGGTTTCGGTTTCGTGTTCGGGCGTGCCGTGCGTGCGGGCGAGGCGAAACTGCGTGGGCGGGCGAGAAGAAAGTCTCCTCCGGCTGAGGCGCGGCCAGACCAAATGATTCCTTTCCGGGGGCCGGTGGCCCGCGGTGTCCCTCGGGTGTCCCGCCGGTGTCCCGTCGGTGTCCCGATGATGATGATGATGATGATGATGATGATGATGATGATGATGATGATGATGATGATGATGATGATGATGTCGATGATGATGATGATGATGATGATGATGATGATGATGATGGTGATGATGATGATGGTGTCCCGATGATGATGATGTTGACGATGTTGATGATGATGATGGTGATGGTGGTGATGACGGTGTCCCGATGATGATGACGTTGATGGTGAGGATGTTGCTGATGATGATGGTGTCCCGATGATGATGGTGATGTTGATGACCCTGATGATGTTGATGATGATGAGGTGATGATGGGATGATGATGACGATGATGATGAAGATGAAGATGATGAAGATGATGATAATGATGATGATAATGATGATGATGATGATGGTGTCCCGATGATGGTGATGAGGTTGATGATGATGCTGTTGATGAGGATGGTGATGATGAGGATAATGGTGTCCCGATGATGATGAAGATGACGATGATGGTGTCCCGATGATGATGAAGACAATGTTGACGATGAGAATGATGATGAGGTGATGATGGTGATTTTGATGATGGTGGCCCAATGGTGATGATGATGCTGAGGTTGATGATGATGATGATGATGGTGTCCCGATGATGATGGTGATGGTGATGATGGTGACGATGATGATGGTGTCCCGATGGAGATGATGTTGATGATGATGATGTTGCTGATGATGAAAATGGTGTCCCGATGACGAAGATGACGATGATGGTGTCCCGATGATGATGATGAAATGATGATGCTGATGATGGTGGTGTTTCGATGATGATGATGATGATGATGGTGTCCCGATGATGATGATGTTGATGACGCTGATGGTGACGATGATGGTGTCCCGATGATGATGGTGGTGATGATGATGATGTTGATGATGATAGTGATGAGGTGATGATGATGATGATGGTGTCCCGATGATGCTGATGATGATGCTGATGTTGATGACGTTGATGACGATGATGTTGTTGATGATGATGATGACGTTGATTGTGAGATCGATTGTGATATCGATAGTGGTATCGATCGTGAGACCGAATGAGAGATCGATTGTGAGATCGATAGTGAGATCGATAGTGAGATCGATTATGAGATCGATAGTCAGATCGATTGTGAGATCGATCGAATGAAATAGATCGAGTGAGATCGATTGTGAGATCGATCGAGTGAGATCTATCGAGCGAGACCGATAGTGAGATCGATAGTGAGACCGATCGAGTGAGACGTTGGTTCCTCCCCCCCGAACCTCCTTATCACCCGAAGGGTGGTCGTATAGGTGTGTATATAAAGCCCGCTTACGTTATCGGGTAAATGACCATGGCGCGTAACTTCGGGAAGGTCCCGCTCCTCGACCTTGCTGGGATCGGTGGCGATTCGAAGTGGAAGTTTGAGACTGAACCCGAACTGCGAGACCCATGTAAGATGACTGCCACTATGCTAAGATTTAGCATTAACCTGGATATGCACGGGAAACCATCTACTAACGCAAACCACTCGCAGCAGCCAGTCGCGAACGCTCTCGGGCCCTCCAAGGGCGACGCATGCGAATTTCTTCCGAACTCCAGGTGGAGGTGGGGCCAGGCAATCCGTCGCCATCTCCTTCTGGTCCGTCGACACATCCACAGCTGTTCCGACCTGTGCTCGACTGGTTGCTGCGAGTGGCTTGCGGTCAACCCCCTGGATGAATAAGTGCGGACCGCAGAGGTAGCGCAAGAGGGGTCGCAGGGCTCCCGTTAGGCCGCGGGGCCCCGATACAATGTTGCAGCGACAACCCTGGCGACTCCAATGCAGCAATCGTCCACTTTGATATTGTCATCGCCAATTGGGGAGAGGACTGTAGAATCATAATTCCACCGAACATGTCCTCAACGAACAACTGTCCAGTCGCACATCCAAGCAACCGGAGAATCACTCTGGCAACCGTAGAATGGCGATTTCGCGTGGAACTTCCTCACAAAAGGCTATCCGGTCTTATTTCCAGCCGCCAGAGAATGGCGGTTTCGCCTGAGGCGTCCTCAAAACCATGCTTGTCGGCCCAGTGAGTGCGGCTAGAAAGTGCCGACTTCGCTTGGGACTTGCGGGGCCCTGCGACCCCATCTTGCGCTACCTCTGCGGTCTGTATTTTTCTAAGCTAGGGGGTTGTAGGGAGAGCGAAACACTCCCGGAACCACCCTGGGACTCCCCCTGGGACCACCCCCTGGGACCACCCCCAGGGACACACCTAAACATGATCGCGCCTCCGCTCCACATGCCAAGATGCGAAATAATCCCACAAGCCCGCTGGGCGGAGGTAGTAGTATGATAAGTTCTTTCAATCCGTCTTCCAAGAATGCTGATTCCCCTGCTCGGGAGGAAGAATCATCACAGTTCCGTATTGCAGATACTTCCCCTCCCCCACCCGACTGGCGACACGCCCGGGCCAACGAGGGCCCACCCCCCCGGGCCTGTCAAAAAAACAATGCGAAGCGCACAGCGGCAATGTCTGGACCGTGCGCGGGCGCCCCGTGAGCATTTCGCATGGATACTGGACAGGGACGGCGGCGGCGCCCTCAAGGTGCCCGCTCTGCGCAGACCCACCACCCCCGTCAACACGCAGTGCACAACACACTGTGTGGCAAACGCTGGCTCATGCGCGGACGCCCCGCAATCATGTCGAATGGGCTCTTGACAGAGGGAGCGGGCGACGGGGGAGGCGCCCTCATGTTGGCTGCTCTGTGCAGGCTCGCGATCCCTAACGAAAGCAGCAAAAGCTGAATTTTGAAAGAAAATCTGGATCATGCGCGGACGCCCCGCGATAACCTTGCATCGATTTTTGTCAGGGACGGTGGGCTTGCCCTCATGTTGCTGCTTTGCGTTACCGACGGGACTTGTGAACTCAGTGGAATCGGGCCCCTAGGCTCGGATGCTGCCGATGTGCTGGGAGGGTGGGCGCAACTGAGCGACACGGCTTGCGTCTTGGGGTAGCTTGATCACTGTTCCCTCTCAAAAATGAACACCCCCTCCCCCACCCGACCGGCAGCCAACCCAGACTCCTGAGGGCACCCATAAGGGCATCCCCCCCCAACATCCATCCCATAAAGCAATGCGAAATACACTTCCCCTTCGAATCTGGAGCATGCGAGGGCGCCCCGCGACCATTTCGCATCATTGTTTTGACAAGGGCGGCGAAGGTGCCGTCATCTTGCTTGCCGCGCGCATGCCAACGCCCCCCCCATCACTTGCCAACGAACAATACAAAGTTCACGGTGCACCACAATCCGAAACATGCGCGACTGCCCACGCTCACATATCACTGGTGTTTGACGGGGACGGTGAGGGGGCAGCATATCGGGCAGCATATCGACTGCGTTGTGCAATGCCAGCACCCCCGAACCATCTCTGATCAAAAAACCATGTAACATACGATTTGCACCAAATCCTGGATCATGCGCGGACGCCTCGCGTTCACACTGCACTGGCTTTTGACAAGGATGGCGGGGGTGCCAGCATTGCAGCATATTGCCTGCTGTGTGCAGGCCCACGCGCTAACCATCTAAACAATAACCAAACCAACAATACACATGGGAAGCGGACGTGGGCGCACACCCGCACACAACAAACCCGCCGCCACTGTGCTTTAGTTTGTTTGACGGCGGCGGTGGCAGGGTCGACATACTGCCCAATGTGGCGAACCTGGTGCGCGTGGCGCAGCTGGCATGTGTGGCGCACCTCGCAGGCTTCGCGCACCTGGCTTGCGTCTGCATTGGTTCCCGATGGTTGTCGATTGCGGCCCCTGTCCATGCTGAGACTCGGGTGCTTATGCGTTGGGAGGGCGGGTGGGAATGAACGAGACGGCTTGTTGCTCGTGGGCAGCTTGACCCGTCACCCCACCCCTTCCCCTTGGCCTGGAATGGGGGGGGGGCGACGCACTGGAGCGTCAAAGATGACCCAAGACGGCTCAAAAAAGGCACCATACACTGCAATATTCTCTCCCAGATGGCCCAAACTACTTCAAGAAAATTTAAGATAACCTCCGACATACCTCCGAATTGTCCAACGGCCGCCACGCGACGGTTCCGAATGCCCCGCGAGCGTTCCAAGGACCCCCTCGGGAGGCCAACATCCTCCAACAACCCACAACAAAAACGTTGTGCCTTTGGGCTGATGATGGGCCTTTGAGGCTTCAAGATGGCCCCAAGATGGCCCAAGAGAGCTCCGAGAGAGGCCCAAGAGCGCCCAAGCGGCGCCCAACAGCGCCCCAAGACGCAATGTTTCGGCCTCCGATGGGGGG